TGAATCAGAAAACAGAGACAGACTGGCAGAAAGAAAGAGACAGAAAGACAGACAGACAGGAGACAGAAAAACAGACAGAGACAGTAGGAGAAAGAAAGAGACTGGCAGACTGACAGATACAGGCAGAGAGACAGTCGGACAGAGACAGACAGACAGACAGAGTCATACAGACAGAAAGAGAGACAGAAAGAGAGAAGGAGAAAGACAGACAGAAGGAGGCAGATGGACGAACAGACAGACAAAGACAGACAGAGACTGATAGAGAAACAGAGACAGGCAGATAGAGACACAGAGTGAGCCAGACAGACATACAAAAAGTCAGACAGACAGAGACAGATAAACAGAAAACAGACAGACATGCAGAAAGACAGAGACAGACGGAGAGAGACAGTCAGGGATAGGCAGACACACAGGCAGGCAGATAGACAGACAGACACAGGCAGATAGACAACAGACAGAGACAGACAGAAAGACAGAGAGAGACAGACATACAGGCAGTTAGACAGACAGACTGAGACAGATGGACAGAGACAGACAGACAGAGTGAGCCAGAAAGACAGGCAGGCAGGCAGAGACAGACAGAGACAGACTGACAGACAGACACACAAACGGAGATAGACGGACTGACAGACAGAGACAGACAGAGACAGACAGAAGGACAGAGATGGACAGACAGAGACAGGCAGACAGACAACAGAAAAACAGACGGACAGACAGAGACAGACAGAAAGACAGAAGGACAGAGATGGACAGGCAGACGGACAGACAGATAGAAGGAGACAGAGACAGATAGACAGAGACAGACGGACAGACAGAAGGAGACAAATGGAAGGACAGACACAAAGACTCATAGAGAAACAGAGACAGGCAGATAGAAAGACAGAGTGAGCCAGACAGACAGACAAAAAGAGACAGACAGACTGACAGAAAGACAGAAGGACAGAGACGGACAGAGACAGACAACAGAATGACAGACAGAGACAGGCAGACAGACAGAGACAGAAAGAAAACAGGCAGGCAGGCAGACAGAAGGAGACAGAAAAACAGACAGAAAGACATTGCCAGAGAGTAGGAGAAAGACAGACAGACAGACAGAGACTGGCAGACAGACAGATACAGGCAGAGAGACAGACAGAGAGACTCACAGAAAGACAGACAGAAAGGGAGACAGAAAGACAGAAGGAGAAAGACAGACAGAGTGAGCCAGACAGATAGAAGGGGACAGACGGAAGGACAGACAGAGACAGGTAGACAGGCAGGCAGACAGAGACAGACAGACAGGGACAGACAGAGACAGACAGACAGACAGAGACGGACCGACAGACAGTCAGACACACAGAGACAGACAAACAGACAGAGACAGACAGACACACAGAGACAGACAAACAGAAGGATAGAGATGGACAGAGACAGGCAGACAGACAACAGACAGATGGACTGACAGAGAGTCAGATAGAGACAGGCAGACAGATAGAGACAGACAGAGAGATAGACAAAGGCAGACATCCAGATGGAGACAGACAGACTGACTGACTGACTGACAGAGAAAGGCAGACAGACCAAGGAAGACAGACGGAGACAGAAAGACATAGACACACAGACAGACAGAAAGACAGTCAGACTGAAGGAGACAGACAGACAGAAACATACAGACTGACAGAGAGACAGGCAGATACAGAAAGACAGACAAAAAGTCAGAGAGATAGACCTATTCTCAAACTTTAAATGGGCAAGAAGCCCGGCTCGCTGGCATGCAGCAGGGCATGGAATGCGAGCCACCCAGTGGGCCACTTTTGGTAACCAGAACTGGCGCTGTGTGATGAACCGAATGCCGGGTTAAGGTGGCCGGTAGACTGGGCGGCACAGCGGATGTTTGTCACACGGCACAACTCTCTCGGGGAGTGCCGGAAGACTGGGCACCTCCGGATCTTCCCCTGCAATTCAGGTAGACCAGGCGGCATCACACCCCTTTGTCCTTTACGGCCGTCCTCTCCATGCAGGCCGGTAGACTGGGCAGTCACAAGAAGCGAGTCTGCATGATGACATTCTGGATAGTTATGGAAGATTGGTAAGATTAGCAACATTGTATAAAAGAAACCTGTATAACATGTTTTATAGATGGGAAAAGGGAAAAGGGAAAAGATTTCCCCGTGACATAAGTCTAGTAATGCCTAACTCTTGGGGACGGTGCACATCTCCGTTTCCTACCCGAGGGAGCCTGACTGTATCGGTCTGTCCATCTGTCCTTTTGACTATATGTCTATCTGTCTTTCTCTCTGTCTCTCTGACTGTATCTGCCTGTCAGTCTGTCTCTTGTCTGTCTGTGTCTGTGTGTCTGTCACTCTTTCTCTCTGTCTGTGTCTGTCTGTCTCTGTGTTTCCCTCTGTCTTTCTGTCTCCGCCTGTCTGCCTGCCTGCCTGAATGTCAGTATGTCTATGTCTGCCTGCCTGCCTGTCTGCCTCCGTCTTCCTGTCTGCCTGCCTCCGTCTTTCTGTCTGACTGTCTCCTTTTGCCTGCCTGCCTGCCTGCATTCCTTTCTGTCTTCCTGTCTCTGTCTGTCTGTCTCTTTCTCTCTGTCTGTCTGTCTGTCTGCCTCTCTCTCTGTCTGCCTGTCTCTCTCTCTCTCTCCCATATCTGTCTCTCTGTCTGTCCTCTGCCTTCATTACTCTGTGTGTCTGTCTCTGTCTGTCTGTCTCCTCTCGTTCTGTCCCTCTTTCTGTCTGTATGTCTTACTCTATCTTCTGGCTCTCTATCTCCGTCTATCTTTCTCCCTGTCTGTCTTTCTGCCTGTGACTGCCTGCCTGCCTGCCTCTGTCTGTCTGTCGATCTCTCTCTGTCTCTGTCTGCATGTCTTTCTGTCTGTCTGATTTCAGTCTGTTGGTCTGTCTGTCTGTCAGTCTGCCTCTCTCTGTCTCCTTCTGCCTGCCTGCCTTCTTGCCTGCCTGCCTGTCTTTCCCTGTCTGTCTGCCTGCCTGCCTGCCTGCCTGTCACTGTGTGTTTTTCTGTTTGTCTCTCTGCCTCTATCTTTCTCTCAGTATGTCTGTTTGCATGTCTGTATCTGTCTTTCTGTTGTCTGTCTTCCTGACTCTATGTGTATGTCTGTCGGTCTGTCTCTGTCAGTCTCCTTCTGTCTACCTGCCTCACTGCCTGCCTGCCTGTCATTCTGTATCTGTCTGTCTGTCTCTGTTTCTCTCACTGTCTGTCTGTTACATTCTGTCTGCCTGTCTATCTTTCTCTCAGTATGTCTGTTTGCATGTCTGTATCTGTCTGTCTTTCTGCTGTCTGTCTTCCCAACTCTGTGTGTCTGTTTGTCAGTCTGTCTCTGTCTGTCTCTGTCTGTCACTTTCTGTCTTCCTGACTCACTGCCTGCCTGCCAGCCTGCCTGTCTGTCATTCTGTATCTTTCTGTCTGTCTGTCTCTCTTCTCTCTACCTGTGTTTCGGTCTGTCTCTCTCTGTCTGTCTGTCTCGTTCTGCCTGCCTGCCTCTGTGTCTCTGTTTGTCTTTGTGTCTGTCCGTCTGTCTCTGTCTGTCTGTCTCTGTCTGTCTGTGTCTGACTCCCTGACTCTATGTGTCTGTCTGTCTGCCTATCTCTGTCTGTCTGCCGGCCTGTCTCTGTCTCAATTTTTCTGTCTGTCTGCCTGTCTCCTTGTCTCTGTCTCAACGTCTGTCTTTCATTGTCTTCTGTCTGTCCGCCTGTATTTCTGTCTGTCTTTGTCTATCTGCCTGCCTGTATGCCTGCCTTTTTGTATGTCTTTCTCTGTCCCTCTGTCTGATTGTCCGTCTGTCTCAATATGTCTATCAGTCTTTCTGTCTGTCTCTGTGATTCTGTCTGTCTTTCTATCTCCCGCTGCCTGCCTGCCTGCCTGTATGCCTGCCCACTTGTCTCTGTCTGTCTCAGTTTCTCCCTGTCTATCTCTGTCGTTCCCTGTCTGTCTCTGCCTGCCTGTCCGTCTGTCTGTCTCCTGTCTGTCTTTCTCTGTCTGTCTGTCTGATTGTCCATCTGTCTCAAGCTGTCTTTCTGTCTGTCTCTGTGTTTCTGTATGTCTTTATGTCTCCGCCTGTCTACTTGCCTGCCTGCCTGAGTGTCTGTATGTCTATGTCTGTCTAGCTCTATCTGTCTGTTTGCCTGTCTCTATCTGTCCTTCTGTCTGCCTCTGTCTGCCTCCTTCTGTTGTTCTGAATGTCTGTCTTTCTTCTGGCTCTCTATCTCTGTCTGTCTGTCTTTCTACCTGTTTGTATGTCTTTCTGCTTGTCTCTGTCTGTGACTTCCTGCCTGTCTGCCTGCCTGCCTGTCTTTGTCCATCTTTCTCTTCCTGTCTGTCTTTCTGTCTCTGTCTTTTGGTCTGTTGATCTGTCTCTCTTTGTCTCCTTCTGTCTGCCTTCCTGCCTGCCTGCCTGTCTTTCTAGCTGCCTGTCTGTCTCTGTCTATCTGCATGTCTGCCTGCCTGTCTCTGTGTGTCTGTGTGTCTGTCTGTGTCTGTCTCTCTTTCCCTCTGCCTCTTAACTGTCTGTCTGTCTGTCTGATTGCCTGTCTGTATCTTTTTTTCTGTATGTCTGTTGTCTGTCTTCCTGACTCTGTCTGTCTGTCTCTGCCTGTCTCTCTCTTTCTGTCTGTCTCTGTCTGCTTTTGTCTGTCTGTTTTCTCGCTGTCTGCCTTTCCATCTGTCTCTCTCTCTGTTTTTCTCCTTCTGTCTGTCTGCCAGCCAGCCTGCCTGCCTCTGTGTCTCTGTCTGTCTTTGTGTCTGTCTGTCTGTCTGTCTCTATGTCTGTCGTCCTCACTCTGTCTATCTGCCTATCTCTGCCTGCCTGCCTATCTCTGCCTGCCTGCCTGTCTTCACTGCCTGTCTGTCTGCCTGTCTGTCTCTGCCTGCCTGCTTGCCTTTCTCACTCTCTATCTGTCCATCTCTCTTTCTGCCTGTCTGCCTGTCTGTTTCCGTCTGTCTCTGTGCCTATCTCTGTCTGTCTGTCTTTGTCAGTCGGTCTCCTCGTCTGCCAGTCTCTATGTCTGTCTTTCTGCTTCCGTCTGTCTTCCTGTCTGACTGACTTTCTGTAGGTCTATGTCAGTCTGGCTCTGTTGATCTGTCTGCCCTCTATATCTGTCTGTCTGTCACTGTCTGTCTGTCCTCCTGTATTTCTGTCTGTCTCTGTCTGTCTCTGTCTTTCTGTCTGATTGTGCATTTGTCCCAATCAGTCTCTGTATGTCTGTCTCTCTGCTTGTCTGTCTCTGTCTGTCTTTGGCTGCCTTGTGTCTGTCTGTTGGTCTGTCTCTGTCTCTGTCTCTCTGTCTATCTTTTTGTTGTCTGTCTCCCTGACTCTATGTGCCTGCCTGCCTGCCTGTCTCTGTCTGTCTGTCTGCCTCTGTCTGTCCGTCTACCTATCTATGTCTGTCTCTCTGTCTGTCTGTCTCTGTCTGCTTGCCTGGCTGGCTGTGTGTCTGTCTTCACTGTCTGTCCGCCTGTTTCTGTCTGTCTGCCTGCCTGCCTTTCTCTCTCTATATCTGTCCATCTGTCTTTCTGCCTGCCTGTCTGTTTCCGTCTGTCTGTCTCCTTGTCCATCTCTGTCTGTCTGCCTCTGTCAGTCAGTCTGCTTCCGTCTGTGTGTCCCCCTGCCTGCCTTTCTGTAGGACTATGTCAGTCTGGCTCTATCTGTTGATCTGCATGCCTGTCTGTCTCTGTCTGTCCTTTATATCTATCTGTCTGTTGCTGTCTTTCTGTCTGTCTGCCTGTATTTCTGTTTCTGTCTGTCTGCTTCTGTCTGTCCCTTTGTCTGTTTGCCAGTCAATCTTTGTCTGTCTGTACTTCTGTCTGTCTTTGTCTGCCCTCTATATCTAACTGCCTGCCTATCTGTCTGTCCTTCTGTCTGTCTGTAGCTGTCTTTCTTTCTGTATGCCTGTATTTCTGTCTGTCTCTGTCTGTCTCTCTGTTTTTCTGTCCCTCTGTCTGCCTCTGTCTGTCTGTCCGTCTCTGTCTGTTTGTCAGTCTCCGTCTGTCTGTCTTTCTGTATCTCTTTGTCTGTCTGTCCGTCTGTCTCAATCTGTCTCTCAATCTATCTGTCTGTCTGTCTCCATGTTTCTGTCTTTCTATCTCCACCTGCCTGCCTGCCTGCTGCCCTGCCTGTATGCCTGCCTGCATGTCTCTGTCTGTCTCCGTCTGTCGTTCTGAATGTCTGTCTTTCTGTCTGTATGTATGTCTTATTCTATCCTCCGGCTCTCTATCTCCATCTGTCTTTCTACCTGTTTGTCTATCTTTCTGCCTGTCTCTGTCTGTCTGCCTGCCTGCCTGCCTACCTGTCTTTGTCTATATCTCCGTCTGCTTTCTGTCTCTCTGTCTGTCTTTCTGTCTGTCGTTCTGTCTCTATCTTTCTGTCTCCTTATTTCTACCTTCCTGTCTGCCTGCCTGCCTTTCTCTTTCTGTCTGTCTGCCTGCCTGTCTGTATCTGTGTGCATGTTTGCCTGCCTGTCTCTGTCTATCTCTGCCTGTCTTTCTTTCTGCCTCTGTCTGTCTGACTACCTATCTGCACCTGTATTTCTGTCTGTCTGTTGTCTGTCTTAATGACTCTGTCTGTCTGTCTGTCCCTGTCTGTCTTCTTCTATCTGTCCGTCTCTGTCTGACTTTGTCTGTCTGTCTGTCTTTCTGTTTTCTCACTGTCTCTCTTTCGGTCTTTCTCTGTCTGTCTGTCTCCTTCTGTCTGCTAGCCTGCCAGCCAGCCTGCCTCTGTGTCTCTGTCTGTCTTAGTGTCTGTCTGTCAGTCTGTCTCTGTCTGTCTCTGTCTCTCTTTCTTTTTGTTGTCTGTCTTCCTGACTCTATGTGCCTTTCTGTCTGTCTCTGTCATCTTTGTCTGCCTATCTCTGTCTGTCTCTCTGCCTATCCCTGTCTGTCTCTGTCTTTCTGCCAGCCTGTCTATCTGTCTTCACTGTCTGTCTGTTTCTGTCTGCCTGCCTTTCTCTCTGTCCGTCTTTCTTTCTTTCTTTCTGCCTGCCTGTCTGTCTGTTTCCGTCTCTGTCTGTCTGCTTGCCTATCTCTGTCTGTCTCTCTCTGTCAGTCTTTCTCTTTGTTTGCCTGTGTCTCTGTCTGTCTGTCTGCTTCCATCTGTCTGCCGGCCTGCCTGCCTTTGTGTAGGTCTATGTCAGTCTGGCTCTATCTGTTTGCCTATTTGCCTGTCTGGCACTGTCTGTCTGACTGTCCTTCTGTCTTTGTCTTTCTGTCTCTCTGTCTGTCTGCCCTCTATATCTGTCTGTCTGCCTGCCTGCCTGCCTGCCTGCCTGTCTGTCTCTGTCTTTCTATCTGTCCGCCTTAGCTGAGCCTCCCACGACACACTGCCGAGCAATGCCAGAATGATAACAGAAACTGTGTTAATCACAGCCATCTTGTTTTGACACCATCTTGAAGTCCCTGTCCGCCTGTATTTCTGTCTGTCTCTTTCTGTCTGTCTCTGTCTGACTGTCCATCTGTCTCAATCTATCTTTCTGACAGTCTGTCTCTGTGTTTCTGTCTGTCTTTCTATCTCCACCTGACTGCCAGCCTGCCTGCAGGCCTGCATTCCTGCCTGCTTGTCTCTGTCTCTCTGTCTTCCTGTCTCTCTCTGTATGTCTCTATCGGTTGCTCTGTCTGTCTGTCTCTGTCTGTGTTTGTCTGTCTCTTTCTGTCTGTCTGTCTAGCTACTGCTTTCTTTTTGTCTGTCTGCCTGTCCCTGTCTGTCTGTCTCTGTCTGTCCATCTGACTATCTCTGTCTTTCTGTCCTTCTGTATGTCTTTGTCTGTCTGTCTGTCTGATTGTCCGTCTGTCTCAATCTGTCTGTCTGTCTCTGCGTTTCTGTCTGTGTCTCTGTCTGCTTGCCTGCCTGCATACCTGCCTGTCTGTCTGCCTGTCTGCCTCTGTCTCTCTGTTTGTCTGTCTCTCTGTCTGTTTGCCTGTTTCCGATTGTGTGTCTGTCTGCTTGCCTATCTCTGTCTGTCTGTTTCTGTCTGTCAGTCTCTTTGTCTGCCAGTCTCTCTGTCAGTCTGTCTGTTTCCATCTGTCTGTCTGCCTGCCTGAGTGTCTGTATGTCTATGTCTGTCTGTGTTTGCCTGTCTTTGTCTGTCTGTCTGTCTTTGTCTTTCTGTCTGCCTGCCTGTCTCTGTCTGTCTGTCGATCTGTCTATCTCTGTGTGTGTCTGTCCATCTCTCTGTCTGACTGTTTGTCTACCTATCCCTATCTGTCTGTCTGTATTTCTGTCTGTCTTTCTGTCCGTCTGTATTTCTGTCTGTCTCTTTCTGTTTCTGTCTCTCTGTCTGTCTGTCTGCCTGTATCTCTCTCTCTCTCTCTCTCTGTCTCTCTGCTCTCTGTCTTCCTGACTCTGTCTGTCGGTCTGTGTGTCTTCTTCTGTCTGCCTACCTGCCTCCGTGTCTCTGTCTTTGTGTCTGTCCGTCAGTCTGTCTCTGTCCATCTGTCTATCTTTTTGTTGTCTGTCTTCCTGACTCTATCTGCGTGTCTTTCTGTCTCTCTGTGTCTGTATTCCTGAGTCTATGTGTCTGTGTCTGTCTGTCTGTCTGCCTCCTTCTGTCATCATGTCTGTCCGTCTGTCTGTCTTTCCATCTGTATGTCTGACTCTGTCTGGCTGTCTCCCACTGTCTGGCTGTCTGTCTTTCTGTTTGTCTGTCTGTCTCTGCCTGCCTGCCTCCTTCTGTCATCATGTCTGTCCATCAATCTGCCTGCCTGTCTCCGTGTGTCTTTCTGTCTGTCTCTGTCTCTCTCTCTGCCTCTGTCTGTCTCTCTGTCTGTCTGCCTGTCCGTATCTGCTTGTCTGCCTGTCTCTGTCTGCCTTTGTCTGTCTGTCTGTTTTCTCGCTGTCTGTTTTTCGGTCTGTGTCTCTCTCTGTGTCTCCTTTTGTCTCCCAGCCTGCCCGCCTGCCTGCCTCGGTGTCTCTGTCTGTCTTTGTGTCTGTCTGTCTGTTTCTGTCTCTCTGTCTGTGTATATTTTTGTTGTCTGTCTTCCTGATTCTATGTGCCTGCCTGTGTGTCTTCCTCTTTCTATGTGTCTGTCTGTCTGCCTGTCTGCCTGTGTCTGTCTTCCTCACTCTATGTGTATCTGCCTGCCTGTCTCTGTCTGTCTGCCTGTTTCTGTCTGTCTGTCGCTATCTTTCTGTATGCCTGCCTGTATTTCTTTCTGTCTCTGTCTGTCTCTGTCCGTCTGTATGCCTCTCTGTCTCTTTCTGTCTCTGTCTGTCTCATTGTCTGTCTGTCTCCATCTTTCTGTCTGTCTGCTTGCCTTTCTCTGTCTGTTTCTGTCTGTCTGTCTCTTTGTCTGCCAGTCTGTCTGTCTGTCTGTCTGTCTTTCTCTTCATCTTTCTGTCTGTGTTTCTGTCTGTCAGCCTGCCTTTCTCTCTCGCTATCTGTCCATCTGTCTTTCTGCCTATGTGTCTGTTTCCGTCTGAGTATCTGTCTCCTTGCCTATCTCTGTCTGTCTGTCTTTCTCTGTCGCCTGTCTCTCTGTCTGCCTGTCTCTCTGTCTGCCTGTCTGTCTGCTTCCGTCTGTCTGCCTGCCTGCCTGCGTTTCGGTAGGTCTATGTCAGACTGGCTTTGTCTATCCGTCTGTTTGCCTGTCTGTCCTTCTGTCTGTCTGCCTTTGTCTTTCTGTCTGTCTGCCCTCTATATCTGTCTGTTTGCCTGCCTGTCTCTGTCACTTTCTTTCTGTCCGCCTGTATTTCTTTCTTTTTTTAATAGAATTCTTTATTAAAATTTTAAACCAATTCTAAAAACATCAGTCATCACATACATCGGAACTACTGGGTCAACTCCTTACTACATATCTTTTAACATCCTGTAATCATATTCATATCCATTTATAATAACTTAAAAAACATTTTTAGATCTAAACCAAGTCCCGTTTCTCCAGCCAATTAAAAAAAAGAGGTTCCATATTTAATAGAAGTCACTGCCTTCTTTCTCTTTCAGCAGTAAAATCAGTCCATCCATTTCTTACAAAGTCCCTTTTTTCTTGACCAATATTAAAAGTAAGAATCTCCAAATTTGTTGTAAGTCAATATCTTCTTTCTTCTTCTGTAGTAACTTCAATCTGACCATCTCCACACAATTCAAGATCTTTTAATTTTTCTAATGCTAGACAAATAGACTCCTCACTACAATAGTTACAAATAAAATCAAATACATTTTTTGTTTACTAGTATTCCAATCCAATATCTACTAAAAAGGAAAACGAAAAAGAAGAAAAGTTCCAAGTTTAAAAAAGAGCTAAAGACTTTTAACCCAGGTTATCTTCACATATCTAACATCCATTTATCATCTTTAAAGACATCTTAGCTAATCTGTTTGACAACAATTACCTATGATATCTTTTAAACAAATTTTCTTTGAGCTAATTTACTAAAGTTTCATCTAGCTTACACATCACTTAGTCACATACAATTAACTCCTTATAAGAGTCCAGCTCCTTACACTCTTTAATATATCTCACTTATAAAAAAGAATCCACTTAGTACAGCTTCTCCTATGCCAATAATAATCCTTTTCTAGTATAGTAACTCAAGGACAAAGGAGTCATGTAACTTAGCTTTTGATTGTTCATTTTTAAGATTAAAAAAGAAAAAAACTCTTATTTTTTCTTATGTCACCAACCAAGAAAAAACTCAATTCTTATTCTTATCTTTCTTAGTTCAGTTTAGATCATATCTTATAATCTCTTCATAATTCAACGCATTTAAATGTAGAGAAGCTTCCACATTGAAATCATATAACTTAGCCTTTCTATACCACAATAAACATGCCAACCCATTTATATCATTCCTTTTTAAGATAACAAATTCTCTCATTTCTTTTTTACGCCTCTGCCCCATCTTTCTCTGGTTAATGGTACTTGTTGAAAATCAACACTCTTCAATGTCTGTATTTCAATATTCAATATTTCTTGCTATATTTTCAATAAATGTAGCATTTGTTGTAGGGCAGTATTCCTTCTTTTGATGGCCAAAATTGTTTCTTTCTCTAATAGAACAAGTAAATCCCATGATAGCTTATTTATTGGTTTTGCAGATTTTGTTTCTTTATCCACTGTCTCAAGTTTTTCATATACTTGTTGTGTTTTTTGCATATTCTGTTCAGTTTTAGATTGCACACTAACCAAAACCTCCTTAAAAGAAGCATCAAGTTTATCAAAGCACTCTTTTTGTTCAGTTGAAAAAAATTCCTGTTTTATCAACATCGCCTCTTCGGATATTTGTAAAGCTGTTAAAGATTCATGTATTGCCAGGAGTGTTCTCTTTAGCTCTTCCATCGTTGTAATCATTCCAATAGCCACAGGATGGCAGCAAAGGCCAACTACCACTTCTTTTTCCTCTAGATCACTTGCAGACAGAAGGTTGGCAAATTGCCAGATACTTTGGCAGGGGTCCCAGAAATGAAGGGAAGAAAATGGTCACTCGACAGGCAAATTATATCCTTCTATCACTTAATTCCACAATAGTTATTATTTTAATTCTTCACTCTTGGGGAAATCAGAAAAGAAACAAAGTCCTTTTTTTTCTCAGTCCCAACTTTCGCACTCACTTCAAACTCTCTCTCTCTCCCATATAAACTTTAAATCCTCTCCCCATATCATTTACTGTTTAAAACACCATGGGGAGGAGAGTTCCTCCTTCCATCAAAGGGTCTTCCCCCCCTTCTTTATGCCAATTAGAACCTGGCCCTGAATGGGGTTGCACTCCCTCTTAGGGACAAGGTCCGCAGCTTAGGAGTACTCCTCGACCTGGAGCTTTCATTGGAAGCTCAGGTGACAGTGGTGGCGAGGAGCGCTTTCCTTCAGCTTCGGCTGATTAATCAGCTGTGCCCCTACCTGGAGTACGACTGCCTGGCGACGGTGACACACGCGCTGGTGACTTCCCGCCTAGACTTCTGTAACGCGCTTTACATGGGGCTTCCCTTGAAGACGGTCCGGATACTTCAATTGGTTCAAAATAGAGCTGCCAGGTTGCTGACGGGGACGGGGCGTTATGTTCACATGACTCCAGTCCTCCGACAGCTTCACTGGCTTCCCATTGAAGTCCGGGCCCAATTCAAGGTGTTGGTTATGACCTATAAAGCCCTAAACGGCTTGGGACCTGGTTACCTGAAGGAGCGCTTACATCCATATATGCCCGACCGCCCCTTGAGATCTGCGGGAGAGGCCCTTCTCCGGGAACCCTCCGTGAAAGAAATTAGGAGGGTATGTACTCGGAGGAGGGCTTTCTCTGCAGTGGCACCCAATCTATGGAATGTGCTCCCCAGAGAGGTCCGCCTGGCGCCGTCGTTATTTGTTTTTCGGCGCCAGGTGAAGACATTTTTATTTAAACGTCATTTTAATTGTTAACAATATTTACTTATTTATCTGGCCAGGGCGACTTCTTTTCGTTTCTTTTATAACTTTTCTTTTATAACTTCTTTTATATCGTTTATATTTTTTATTTACTTTATATTATTAATTTTAATTTTATATTGTTATTTTTATATTGTATTGTATTTTATTTTATTGTGTTGTAAGCCACCCCGAGGCTTCGGCAAGGGGCGGCATAGAAATGTTATAATAATAATAATAATAATAATAATAATAATAATAATAATAATAATAATATGCAACTTTTCCATGGGTAGTATTGCGAAAAGAAATAAAAAATAAAAATATTTACCCAGCAGTTCCAATGCTTATTTAGCTAATAAAAATCCTAAGTTAATTCCATAAGATGTCGAGAACATGTAGGGGCTAAAAAAAAACGCCGGTTGAGAAATGCCTGAATTTCTCCCAGTGGATATGGGATTGTCTTCCCACACCGACCAGAAGAATGAACAGGCAATCCGTCTTCGCTCCGACAGAGCTTACATGAGCCTCCCATGACACACAGCCAAGAAACTGCATTAATCACAGCCATCTCATTCCGACGCCATCTTGAAGTCCCTGTCCGCCAGTATTTCTGTCTGTCTCTGTCTGTCTGTCCATCTGTCTTTCCGTACGTCTTTCTCTCTCTTTCTGTCTGATTGTCCGTCTGTC